TGAGTGATGATGGCGAGAGTGAGCAGAGCATTAAGGCATTGCTTCTGTGGGGAGCCCAGCCCTAAAACATCTTCCTATGTAAGTGGCCCCCTGGTGCCTGCTCAGCATGACTTATCTCTCTCTTCCTAATGTTCAGATTTTCTATATTGGCTCCCCCACCCCAACCCATGAAGCACATTAGTCCCGACCAGGTGAGTGTGTTAAAGAAAGAAATTATTCAATGATAGTTGTTTAAACACCACAAGGAAGGCTCCCTATGTATTCAGGTCAGGTGCTGGATATGCGGACCCTACAACAGGGTCCTTCGGTGGAGGAGAGATATTGGGCTTAATTCGGAATACCAAATGGGCAAGTGGGAGTTGATCTCCAAGGGACAGGGTGAGGGTCAGTTCTAAGGGTGATGGAAAAGGTCTAAGATGGACGAAAGTCAGGGGTAAGAAGGATTGTGTCTAAACCAATGAAACAAAATTCTTGCTGAAAAGAGGCCAGGATGATGAAACATCATCTAGGGATGATGAAGGAGAGGAACCTGATTAGATATCAAGGGTAGAGAGTTCTTGCTAACCTGACTTAATGGGGTTCTTTGCTAAAACTAGATTTTTACAGGGAAATGAATAGATGGCATGGCTTGGGATAAGAAGAGATATCATTTTTTCCCTTGAAATAATATGTCTTTTTAAAAAATTTAACCATTAAAGAACAAAAAAGTTCCATGACACTTCCTGAAGCATGGTAAGGATATCTATATTAAGGGACCACTGCAACTGAGACTTGCAATGGAGGAGAGAGATTGAGCTCAACTTGGAAAACAGTATGGAAAAGTGGGAACTGATAGCCAAGGTTGGGGGCCAGTTCTAAGAGGAGAAGTTCTAAGAAGTCACATCAGGAGTAAGGGGGATTCTATCTAAATCTGTTCTAACAAAATTCTTGCTAAAAAGAGGTTAGCATGACCAGGTACAGTGACACATATGGTAATCCCAGAGATTTGAGTGCTTGAGTCAGAAGGATCACAAGTTTGAGGCCAGCCTGAGCAATTTACCAGGCCCAGTTTCAAAATTAAAAAAATAAAAATAAAAAAGGCTGGGGATTTAGTTCAGTGTAGAGCACCCTGGGTCTATTCCTAGAATCACAAAAATAGCAAGCAGGCAAGGCCAGGATAATGAGCCTCCACCTGAGGATGGTGGAGGATGAAGAACCTGATCAGTTATGAAGGGTGCTGAGCTGTTGTGTTTGGGGGAGTTACTGCTAAACTGACTTGACTTGGTTCTTTGTTAAAATTGCGTTTTACAAGGAAGTTCACAGATGGGCATAGGAGAAGGTTCAGAAACCTGATCAAAGTTTGACCAAGCAAAAAATCTTTGCCAGATAACTAATAGATGGTCAGATGGACAGCCATTTACAGGGATGCTGAATCATTTGATTCATATCTAAGTTGCTTTGTGACACATACAAGCAGTCCACCCTTATCCATGGGGCACACATTCCCAGATCCCAGCAGATACCTAAACCCACAGTAGTATCAACCTCTATAAATATTGGATTTCCCCACTTAACAATGGTTTAATTCATTAATTAGGCATAGTAAGCAATTAACACAACTAATAAGAAAATAGAACTGTTATAACAATATATTGTTATTAAAGTTATGTGGTAAGCCATTGTTTTAGATCGTGGCCGCCATTAGAAGATGGCGCCAGCTTCCACTGTGGCCTGTGGTAAACAACTCCTTTTACGGAGAGTTGGCGCGCAATCCCTGACCACCCTATGAGAAAGATCCACGTGGCAGCTTAAGATTGGTATGCAGGAGGCTTTATTAGGCTATGCTTGGGCGCTCGGCGGGGGGTCGCTAGAAGATGATACTTGAATCAAGGCCAATAAACTGCTGAAAGAAGAATCCTGTGTCGTGTTTTCCCTTGCCAGCGAGGGGTCGCGACAAAGTTATATGAATGTACATCATTGAACCAGGACAATGTCAATGGTCTGATGTCATGAATCAACTTCTTCAATTCTGCTGGAGGTAAAGCAGCAGCTGCTTCATCAATAGATGCAGCCCTTTCAATAATTTATATATATATATATATATATATATATATATATTTTTTTTTTTTCAAATTTATTCCTGAATCTGCATAACCATCTCTTACTTGGAGTACGTGGCCTGGTGTCACTTGTTTGGAGTCTTCCTATAGATTCAGGGCCTTCAGGTGGAACATATTGTCATCAGTCCAAACATCCTTTATGTTCATATCTTCCACCCACAAATTTAGGGCCTTTTCCATCTTGACTAAGCAGTTATCATGCTGTGGCTGTAATTTTTGCAGTTTGGGGTGTAACAGAAAAACTAGCATGGGTTTCTTTTTCCTTCTTCACAATTTCATAATTAGAAAAAATGCATTCTTGGGGCTGGGGATGTGGCTCAAGCGGTAGCGCGCTCGCCTGGCATGCGTGCAGCCCAGGTTCGATCCTCAGCACCACATACAAACAATGATGTTGTGTCTGCCGAGAACTAAAAAATAAACATAAAAAAAAAAATTCTCTCTCTCTCTCTCTATCTCTCTCTCTCTTTAAAAAAAAATGCATTCTTGTCATAAATGTTAGCAACCTGACCATACGATATTTTTCTTTCCTTATTAAGTCTAGAACTTTTACCTTTTCACCGAAAGGAGGTACTTTATGGCTTCTCTTTGGCAAATCTGAATTGCCAGAGTCACCCGTCTTGTGCTTTGGGATGAGTATTAAATAAAATAAAGCTTATCTGAACACAAGCACTATGACAAAGTGGAAGTTGGTCTGATGCCCAAGACCACTGCTAAGTGACTAGTGGGCAGACAGTGTATACAGTGGGGATTTGGTGGATGAAGGGATGATTCACAGCCCAGGCAAGATAGAGGGGGATGATGTAAGATTTCATCATGCGCCTCAGAATGGCGTGCAATTTTAAAACTTATGGATTGTTTATTTCTGGAATGTTCCATTTAATATTTTCAAACTTTGGTTGACTTCCTACAACTGAAACCATGGAAAACAAAACCACAAATAAAGGAGTTCTATATACCTACAGTCTCTTCCAGGGATACTATCTTTTTATAGTTATAAATCCCCTAATGTCGTATGAAATGTATGTAGTTAATTTAAACAATAATACACATTTATTATTATTATTATATTATTATTATAATTAATTGTTTATTTATTTTGGGTACTGGGGATTGAACTCAGGGGCATTCGACCACTGAGCCACATCCCCAGCCCTATTTTGTATTTTATTTACAGACAGGGACTCACTGAGTTGCTTAGTGCCTCGCCATTGCTGAGGTTGGCTTTGAACTTGTGCTCTTCCTGCCTCAGCCTCCCGAGCCCTAGGATTACAGGTGTGTGCCACTGTGCCTGGCCTACAGTTATTATTTTTTTCCCAATAATATAGGCAATCCAAGGTGGGTGTGGTGGTGTACACCTATAAGCCCAGAGACTTAAATTCAAAGCTAGCCTGGGCAACTTATATAGACCCTGCCTCAAAACAACAACAAAAATGTGGGGGATGAGGGATGTAGCTAAGTGATAGAGCACCCTGGATTCAATTTCCAGTACTGAAAAAAAAAGGAATCTATGGTCACTCATATTCCAATCTCATAGATATATGTATGAAGAAAATGAAAGACCCTTATTATATTCTTTAACCTTCCCCCTCTGACATTGCTAAGAACATGGGGCACAATAAGCTTTCAAGGTAGGATGCCTTGATGGAATGATTCTCCCCAGGGGCAGGCAGGTATGGGTATGAGTATTGGAGAGTGCTCACATACGTGCACAGAGAGCGCCCATGTCGTCTGCTTCCTACAGCGCTGGGTGAACTTGAAATCCCAAACCAGAACCAACGGCTTCAGAATGATTTCAGACAATCAAGGCTTTTCCTTCTTCAAAGGACAGGCTCATTTCTTGAAACATGACTTGCTGTTTTAAAATAAATCAAACCAATATTTTTTTTAAAAAGAGTCCTTTTGAAAGTATTTCTAGAAGAAATACTTACTGGGATATGTATGTCATGGGATAAAGATGTCATGACATCTTAGATTTGCTTTAAAATGAAGGTGTTGCATGCCTATACTTAGCAGTTTGGGAGGCTGAGGCCGGAGGATTGAAGGCCAGCAGCCTTAGCAACTTATCAAGGCCCTAAGCAACTTGGCAAGACCTTGTCTCAAAATAAAAAAGAAAAAGGGCTAGAGATGTGGCTCAGTGGTAGAGTACCCCCCCCCCTGGGTTCAGTCCCCAGCATTGCAAAAACTAAATAAATCAAATACAATCAAAAGGGATGGGAATATAGCTCGGTGGCAGAGTGCTTGCCTAGCACGCACGAGACCTTGGATTCAATCCCCGGTACTGTAAAAACAAACAAATAAAATAAAGGCAGTGGATGGGCATCGAAACCAGATGGCCATGATAAGTGATGAATGGGGTTGAATCTGAGTGAGGGACCCATGGAAGGCTATTACAGTATTCTCTCGACTTTTGCAAGTTTCACATTTTCCAGAATAAAAATTTAAAGTGTATAAACCAGGATAAGTTTTGTGTTTTGGATAAGAAGATCAAGTCACTGAAAAACAAGCAGGTGGTGGGCAGAGCTTGCTGCTGGCCTGGGAGGGGAGAGTGGCAGAGCTGTTCTCGGCCCACCTGCCCCTGTTCCACATGGGCACTTGGCTTTTGAAGAGGGTATTTTCCCAGAACTTCTGTGTGTTGCTGTCTGGGCCAGTAGCTTTGGCTCAGGTCCCCTCATATCCTTTTGTGTGGGAAAAAGAGAAGAAGAGGAAGGATGGGACTGGTGGGGAGATTCGGTCTGACTGATTCCCCCACCCTCCGTCCTCCTTGACTGGAAGCCACGTTCCGTTCATCCCTACCCTCTGGACCTCAGTCCCCTATCTGTCAAGTGAGGGGACTAGGGGACGGCACTCCAAGATCCCTCTCTGCTCTCAGACTCCATCTCTGATGGCTGTTTCCTTTCGTAGCTCAGCGACGCAGGATGACCCCAAATGTCACAACCTCAGCAAGCACCAGAATGGATCTCCCCCTCCCCTCCCGGAGATGGCAAAGGTCAGTGGGTCACATGGATGTGGAAATCCTTTTCCTTCCTCACATGGGCAGATGCAGGCTGGACATACCACTTCGGGCTGGGCTGGGGGTGCAGGAAGCCAGGGTCTGGGTGGTGAGTGGAGAGGCCCAAACCTAGGGGCTCCGGTGGGAGCAAGGAAGGGCTGTTGAGAGTGGAATGGTCTGTGGTGTTCAGGAGTGGGGGTCCCCAAAGTACATAAGCATCTGGGTAACCTGTCCGGGTGGCCTGGCGACAGGTGAGGGATGATTTGTAATCATTCTTGATCGTAAGGGGTGGGACATTCCCAAACAATCAGATTTACCAGCTGAGCCTTCAATCCCAGTCCTGGGAGAGGAAGGCAGTGGTCCATTCTTCCCTGTCCTGATTTCTGTCCTTAGTGGTATTGGCTGTGACAGGTTCCCCCTCATCTAACCTGAGTCTCTCCCATTGCCATTCCTCTGAGCAAGCATTTGGCAGGGCCTTGGTGAGGAGAGAAGCCTGGCCAGTGGCCCAGGCACCTGGAGCTCTCAGCAGGGACTGGCCCAGGTGGCCTCACTGATGGGCAGGGAGGAGGGACAGGGACTGCCCCCTCCCCTGTGTGCATACCCACAGCTCTCCACCCAAGCTGGAGCAGGGCCCAGAGGGCTGGGGGGGAGGACTGTGGGATCCTAGGGTTGCAGACATTTGGAGAGACCTGTTTTTTTTTTCTCCCTCTTAGAAGTCTCCAGAATCTCTGGGTCCGCTGAATGTGCCTCCTCCATCCTGCTCAGAGCACATGAGGATCAAAAACTGGGGCAATGGGATGACTTTGCAAGACACGCTCCACCACAAAGCCAAATCGGTGAGAAGGAAGGGCTCCAGGAAGAACCACCCTTGTCAAGCTGTGGGGACCCTTTGTGGATCAACAGATGTCCCCCTAGGCAGATAATCTGCGTGGAACAGAGACTAACATTCTTACCAATGACAGTAGGAAGTTAATGATGACAGTTTCCTTTTAATCACCCTAATGGATAACAGATAACCAAGGATATCAGATAAATGATTAAAGAAACAAATTAATACTTTTCTTACACCTATTTTAGCAGAAATTGGGAAGAATTTCTAACTCAATTGCCCAAAGCTAGATCGAACTAAGTGGTTGAGCTCCCCGTCACTAGAAGAAGTCAAATACTATTTGATAATAGAGATCACAGAGCGGGTGGAGCATCCAGTGAGTGGTTGGACTAAATGTCTTCTAAAGCTCCTTCCTGTCTTAATTTTTTTTTTCTAGTGCTGATGATCAAACCCAGGGCTTTACACGTGCTAGACAAGTACTCTACCATAGAGCTACACCCCCAGTCCTTCTTTTTGTCTTTTAAGTTCCTTATTTTGACTTTAGAATGCAGAGAGCAGCTGCTCAACATGTAAAGAATGGAAAATGTCAAGACCTTGAAGGCAGAATGATTCCCCAACCCCCACCCCCAGAAACCACCGTAGTTAATATTTGAGGATACTTCCTTCCAGAATGTTCTCTGTGCCATCCTGTGGCTCTGGGATTTGCACTCTTTCATTTCAGTTCATTTTGGCTGACCCCAGAATTGTGTCCCTCCCCCCAGGAGCCACGGGGGCCTCTTTAAATAAGAAAGCAGATGAAATGTTCCCAGCCACCAAAATGGGGCTAGTTAGAGAGCAGGGCCAGAGACTGAGGCCAGGATCCGGGGACAGTCCTGGCTCACACCCATTATTGACTCAGCCAGTAAAGAAGAGGAGGTCTGGGTCGGGAGAAAGCCCAAGCTCCTGGATCCTAAGGAAAAGGTGCCACAGAGTGGAGGAGGTGTGGGGAGTGGAAGTATCCAGAGAGCAGGGAGGTGGCCAGGCCAGCAGAGTAGGCTTGACACTCTATGATAACGACCTGCTTCTGTCTTTCCAGGATTTCACTTGCAAGTCTAAATCTTGCCTGGGGTCAATCATGAACCCCAAAAGTTTAACCAGAGGACCCAGGGACAAGCCTATCTCTCTGGATGAGCTTCTACCTCAAGCTATTGAATTTGTCAACCAGTATTACACCTCCTTCAAAGAGTAAGGCTTGTGTCCTATGATGTCACTGCTTCCTCCTTCTCCCCCGGGCTCTCCTATCTCCAGCAATGACCCTCTGGCCCTAGATCCCTTTCCTTCCAAGATTCTTAGTGGTTCCAGGCTAAATTGTAATTTTCCAAGAGAAGAGTTCCTGGAGTAGATATTTGTAATCGGGGATAAAGTTCAGGAATGGCAATAGGGCTAAAAAGTGGGGGTTGAGTATAACCGAGTTTGAATTCTGACTCCATCATTAACCACCGCTGAATCCCTGAGAAATCTATTTACCTTCCTGAAGCCTCGGCTTCCGTGGGAATAATAGAACTTGGCTCATAAGATCATTGTGAGGATTCAGAACAGTGTCCTACCTCTCAGTAACCTTGACTGTGAATTTAAATGGACTCTTTTATTATGAAAGATTTGAGATAGAAAGGACCTCAGAGACAGAGACTACCTAGTCAAGCCCTTCCTCCTACAGGTGAACTTGGAACCCAGTGACACACCTGAGGTCACTGAATCCCTGCACAAAACACAGCCATCTCACTTGGCCAGGGCAGGCGGGTGCTCTCTGCACTGAACCTGGTGGGGCTCCACATTCCTGGGGTTCTTTTCTTCTTCCTACCCAATGAGATTTCTGCAAGGAGTGCTAGGAGTCCTTGATTTCTATAGTCAGTCATTCATTTGACAAATGCACTATCAAGTACCAGCCCAGTGTCAGGCACTGGAATGCAAAGATGTTTTAAATTGTCAAGTGCAGATTTTATTGTTAACATGTATAATTGTAAACATTCAGAGAATCATATAGATAGCTATATGATTATACTAATATCTAGCATAATGGTTATGCAATATATAGTCAGGATTCTGGTGGCAGATTTAGGTTCAAATCCTAGTTGTACACCTCCTAAGTGGCCTGACCCTGGGTATGTTACTTCGTTTATTTGTGCCTCAATTTTTCTGCCTGAAAATAGAGAATAATAAGTACCTGCTGCCAGGTGCAGTGGCACATGCCTGTAATCCCAGCAGCTCAGGAGGCTGAGGCAGGAGGATCATGAGCTCAAAGCCAGACTCAGCCAAAGTTGCACTAAACAACTCAGTGAAACCCTATGTCTAAATAACATATAAAATAGGGCTGGGATTTGTCTCAGTGGTCGAGTGCCTCTGAGTTTAATCCTTGGTACCAAAAAAAAAAAAAAAAAAAAGATCTGCCTTGCAGGAGTTTATATAGACTAAATGAGTTAACATATATATAAAGTACTAAGATCAGTACCTGGTCCATTGTAAGAACAACCCAAGTATGAGCTGTCATTATACTCTTAGAACCCTGTGTTGCCCAAATAAAATAGATGACTATGTGATTTAAATTCCTTTAAAACTTAAACATAAAAATGCATGAAGAGCTTGTAATCCCAGCCACTCAGGAGGCTGAGGCAGGAGGATCATGAGTTCAAAGCAACTTAGTGGACCCCTGAGCAACTTATTGTTCCAAAATTAAAAATAAATAAATAAATAAAGGGCTAGGGATGCGGCTCAGTGGTTAAGTGCTCACGGGTTAAATCCCCAGAATTAAAAAAATAATAATAATAATAATAATGAAGACATTGTAGGACAGAATGTGGAATAGGCATTGGGTTTGCTGTTTTCTAGTTGGGAGGACTGTGTGGTTTTGTGTGGCAGACTCATGTGACACTTGGCCACATGAAGTGAGCCACAGAAGGGTGCTTGAGACCCATGGTGGAAAGAGTGGTTCCTAGAAATACCACAGCCCTTAACCACAACCCTAGAAGGTCCAAGCTGGGAGAGACAAGGAGGTCCCCATCTTCCAGGACAGTGGTCGCCAAGCCCTGACTGCATTGTAGAGTCACCTGGGGAGCTTTCGGAACACAGATGCCTGGGTCCCCTGGACCAAAGGTGACAAAGTCTTGGGAGATGAGGAAGGGGTGGGTATCTATGTTCTCCAAAATCTCCCAATGATCCTGACGTGCAGCCCAGGTTGAGTCCTGTCAGGGTGCTGTCTCATTTGCATGCTGTGCACCTGGAGCTTCCATAGAAGTGTGTTCCGATTATAGGGTTCACCGTCTTTGGTCTTTCAGCTCAGTTGTTATGTAGGGAGCCTTTTGGGGGTCAGGGATTTTCCCTAATGAATTTCATTGGGCCACAGTTCTTTTTGATTTATTTGACATTAAGCGTGTGCAGGCCCCTATGTAAGTCACATTTTTTTTTTTTTAACACCATGACTCCATGAGATTGGCACTATTACTATCCCTATTCTACAGACAAGGAAACCAAAGCCAATTGAGATGTAATTGCTTGAATGTACCCATTCTGAAATCCCGGGGCTGGGAGGCTCGGCAGCTTGTGTCTGGAGCCTCGGCAGCTGGTACCCTGAGCCTTGGCTATTAGCCTGCATGCCCTACCACCTAGCCCTTCCACCCTTCAGGTTCCTGACGCTCTTCTGGAACTGCGAGGGTGGCTGGCCTTTGAAAGGTAGTTGGATGGTTGTTAGGAAGCCCAGAGGCCAGGGTGCTGCGGTTGGGCTCTGCTCAAACTCATTGGCTTCTCACACAGGGAAGTTCCACTTGTCACACCCGGGAGGTCCTGAGGGGTGTGAATCATGAATGACAGCCCATCCCCCACAATCGCTAGCAGCCCAGCAGGTTTGGTCATCTTCTGTATATGGAGGATGGTAGTATATTGGGGGATCATGACGTGCTGAATGTTATATTCAAATCTTTTTGCTGCTGAGGAAGGCTGCTCCCCTTTTTCAGAGTTAAGAGGCATCATTGCATTGTTTGTGCCTCAGAAACACAACTGTGTCAAAATGGTCAGACATAAAGCTTGAAGGGAACCAGGCACAGACTTTAAAAATGATCTTTCTTAAGTATTCACATGCCGACACCGTTCTACACTTTGGAGGCTTTGGGGTTACAGCAGTCACTACTGTCTTTGTGGTAAAGCGCAGAGTGGAGGATGTTTCTAGAAGCTTTGTTTGGAGAGGGGGGAGCACCACTCCACCCCACAGCCCCCAGGAGTTCCTTATGACAGGGATGTCCTTGAGGATAAGTATCACCCTGTGTTTTGACTCTGAGCTTCTTTCTCTAATCAAGGGTTGCTGAGATAGGCACAACTGAAAGGCCATTTTTGTTCTGAGTAGAACAGAATAATTTAAATAATTTTGTTTGTTGCCATTTTGAAAACCTTTGATGGTGCTGATTGGAAATCTCAAGGTTACGGTGAGGTGTGTGTGTGGTGGTGGGGGTTTAAGTCTTTCTGACGAGTCTTTTCCTTTGGGATATTTTTGAAGTGCATTTAGAAATTGCTGGGTGCACCTCTTCCCTGAGGCCCTGCAGGCTGAGTCCTAACCTCCAGGGTTGTATCTGGGCCTGGCTGGGCTTGTGAAGAATGTCTTAGAGCTTGCTGTTGCCCCTAGAGTCTGTGTCCTGATTTTCTCTTGACCACACTTATATTCCTGGGCCTGATATTTAACTGCTATAGCCTTGAGACCCTTGACTATGAAGTAAACATGAAATTCCTTCTAAGTCAAGTGCACGGGTGCTGGAGATCAAACCCACGGGTGCTTTGCCACTGATCCACATCCCCAGACCTTTCTTATTTTTTATTTTGAGATAGGATCTTGCTAAGTTGTGAGGCTGGCCTCAAGCTTGTGATCTTCCTGCTGGGATTATAAGCATATATTACTACACACAACTCAAAAAGACTTAAAATTCACAGATGCAATGAGACCCTATCTGTGAATTGCTTTGCACAGTGCCTGGCTCATAGTGTGTACTTGGTGCACAGGAGCTGCTGAAGGAGGGTCTGGCCTACCTCCTCTTAGCCAGGACAAGGGGAACAGGTGCTCCCCTGACTAAAATAGTCAGGACATGTTGTGGCTTAATGGGACTCTGCACCTCCAACATTTGTAAATGTCTGAGAAGGATCAGACCCCTTGCTAAGATGAATCATTAAAGAAAAAGTACCTAGAATATATACACAATGGAATTTTACTCAGCCTTAAAGAAGAATGAAATTATGGCATTTGCCAGTAAATGGATGGAATTAGAGAACATTATGCTAAGCAAAATAAGCCAATCCTGAAGAACCAAAAGCTGAATGTTTTCTCTGATATATGGATGCTAATTCACAATAAGGGGGGTAATTTGAACTAGACAGAGGGGAATGAAGGGAAGGGGGGGCACAGGGGTAGGAAGGGTAGTAGAATAAATCAGACATTATTACCCTAGGTGAATATATGATTACGTGACCTGTGTAACTCTGTATCATGTACAGTTAGACGAATGAGAAGTTAGACTCCATTTTTGTATGATGTGTCAAAATGCATTCTACTGTCATGTATAGCTAATTAGAACAAATATAAAAATATATCAAAAAAAAAAAAAAAAAAAAGAAAAGAAAAAGTACCTGGAAATAATAAGGGTTCTCACTGACGCAGGACAGACTTCACAATTTGCAGGATCTGGTGTAAAAATGAAAATGTAGACTCATTATTCCAAATGATTAAGCACTTCACGATGGCCATGGCTGAGCACTCAGTACAGGCCCCAGGAGCAGACCTCAGAGGGGACAGTCTCCTGTGAGGGACAGCTTGCCCTTTTGGTGTCCGATTGCAGTTCCTGCTTCTGTGGATTGAATTAATCCCCATGTAAGGTCATCTCATTGTTGGTCTTCCTGATATCTTCCTGTCCCCCAGGGCAAAAATAGAGGAACATCTGGCCAGGGTGGAAGCGGTGACAAAGGAGATCGAAACAACAGGAACCTACCAGCTGACTGGAGATGAGCTCATCTTTGCCACCAAGCTGGCCTGGCGCAACGCCCCCCGCTGCATCGGGAGGATCCAGTGGTCCAACCTGCAGGTGAGCCTCCTCCCCCTGGGCCGGGGAGAGGAGCTGGAGGTGGGCTGGCCCTGAGCCCTGAGCAGATGGCTCTGGAGCAGCCCAGTGGAGCTGTGCCCAGGTCTCCACGGACTAGCCAAAGCCCCATGTTCCCAGCCCGAGAGGGGGTTCAAAGCCTCCCCCCACTAGAAATCCAGAATCCTTTTTTTTTAATATATATTTTTTTAGTTGTCAAAGGATCTTTAATCTTTAATTAATTATTTATATGTTGTGCTGAGAATCAAACCCAGTGCCTCACATGTGCTAGGCGAGTGCTCTACCACTGAGCCACGCCCCCAGCCCCCAGAATCCCATTTAAACTTCAGGATCTCTAGCTGACCTTCTCTGATGCATTAAGCTCAGGAGATCGAAATGCCATCGTAAAACCACACCACGACCTTGTTTTTGTTATTGCCAAGGCCTTGGTGCTGCAAGAGAGGTTGTTTACCTCAAATGTTTGAATTCTTGGCTCCGAGAGACCACTTTATTTATCCTAGGCTCCTGGGCCACATTTCGCTGGAGGATCGTTTTGTGGTTTGGATCCTCTGGAAGGAGAAATCGATGAGAAAAACCAGGAAAGCCAACCCCAGCCATGTCAAATAGGCTCGAGATGCAAGGGGAGCAGGCTGGGGCTGGGTGTTCCTGACTTATAGAGCTATAAATTTGGGTTTTCTTGGGATGTGCATTTTGCTGGAGTCTCCTGAGTGGGGTTGCCCCAGGGGAACAGAAGAAAGGGGCAGCCGTTCACGCAGAGGAGCATGGGCCCCTCTGTCTTGTGGGAATGGGGGCATGCAGGCCACCTGCTGTCCCCCAGGGCTTCAGTCGGCCCAGAAGCCTCTGTCCGCATAGTCGTTGAACTATTTTTGCTTGTTTGTTGTTTGGTGCTGGAGATTGAGCCCAGGACATACGCTGTCACATGTTCTGTCACTGAGCTACATCCCCAGCCCTACGCATTTCTTGACATGCCTCAAGTCAAGGCATGAGAATCCTTGACTCTGGTGGGCTGTGTGCAGGTCTTTGACGCCCGGAGCTGTTCCACCGCCCAGGAGATGTTTGAACACCTCTGCAGACACATCCGTTATGCCACCAACAACGGCAACATCAGGTGGGGGTGCCTGTCCAGGGTGGCGGTGGGGCCTACTCTGCCTCCGCAGTTTAGCCAAAACATGCAGATGGGTCTAGGAGGAGGCCTCACGGGCTCCAGGAGAAACCAGGGACAGAGAAAAGGAGAAAGATCTGGTCCTGTCTTCAGGGACCTCTAATGGCAAGCCCAGCCTCCACGGCTTAGCCTCTACCAGGAGCCCATTTTCCTGGGTTTCCTTTGGGCTTGGAACCTTGTGGAAGTTCCAGCTTTAAGAAGTAACTTCACGGTTCAGTGTTACAGCTCTCCACTTCCTAGAGGGGCTGAGACTTTGGTTTTCTAGCATATGACTCTGGTGTGGTTTCTTAGAGGTAGGAGAGTCATTGCTTGTCACTGTGACCCCCTACCTCCACCCGATAGGACTAACATCTCATTCTGTCATTCACTCATTTTGGGGTCCAGCAAAACACTCAGGGGCCACCTAATGGGGACTCATCACTAGATCCCACATATTAAGACCATGTAGCAGGACTAGACCAGCATGGGGGCGTTGGGGAAGAAGAGGCAGGGAACCCGGATGCAGAGATGTCTGAGACCCTCACTGTGAACCACGACCTGCACTAGACAGGCATCCGGCTGACTCAACTTCAGGGGAAGAAATACCGGGCAGGGAGAGAGACGGCTGTGGAGGTCCCTAGTGGTCCCTGTGCTGGTCTAGAAGAAGGAAGGGGCTGGTGGGAGGTGGGAGGCAGTCAGCTCAGCTGCACAGACTGCAGAGCAGGAAGAGTGGGGGGTGGGGTGGGCCAGGGGGGATGGCTGGGAGTCCCCACCAGGGCCAGATGGTAAACAGTGCCACTCCTGTCCTGGGGAAGGTCGACCATCACTGTGTTCCCCCAGCGGAGCGATGGGAAGCACGACTTCCGAGTCTGGAATTCTCAGTTAATCCGGTATGCGGGCTACCAGATGCCTGACGGCACCATCAGGGGGGACCCTGCCAACTTGGAGTTCACCCAGGTACCCGCAGAGTCTCTACCCCGGGGTCTTCAGTGGTGGGTGGCAAGTGGGGCCTGGGGAAGTCGAGGCGCTGGCCCACAGGCTCACTGGACCTGTCTTGTCCCCCAGCTGTGCATCGACTTGGGCTGGAAGCCTCGTTATGGCCGCTTCAATGTGCTGCCCCTGGTCCTGCAGGCTGATGGCCGTGACCCTGAGTTCTTTGAAATCCCACCTGAACTTGTGCTTGAGGTGCCCATGGAACATCCCAAGTAAGTGGCTGAGGGTGCTGGACGAGTGAATCCACAGGCACGTCCCTCTCCTTCCTCATGGACTCCGACCATCAGACCCCTCCCGTGCCTCCCCCAGAGCCCAGCAGCAGCAGGTGACACCCAGGCGTCATTCTGTGCCTTCTGCAACAATTCTGCATTATATTCTCTGGCCTCAGACTTAGGAAGATGTGTTGATGGACAAGAGAATCAGAGGCTTAGATGAATGAGCCCCGAGGAGCCGAGAGAGCCTCAACCTCAGGACAAAAACCCTTGGAGATACTCAGTCTGGGCAGCCCAGGCCTCCTTTTCCCTCCTCCCAGCTTGTCTGTCTGCGACTGTGGGGCAAGGATAGGGCTACGGGGACTCTGAGAGCTCAGTGGGCTCAGCACCTACTCTTGGCCCTTCTAAAAATAGCAAAAGTAACCCCACATATTAAGACTATGTAGCCGGCATTAGGCTGAGCTCTTCTTCTTTTTTAAATATTTATTTCTTAGCTTTAGGTGGACACAATATCTTTATTTTATTTTTATGTGGTGCTGAGGATCGAACCCAGCGCCTCAGGCATGCCAGGCAAGCGCCCTACTACTTGAGCCATATCCCCAGCCCCTGAGCTCTTCTTCTTGTCCCTTGAATACGCTGGACTCCATCCTGCCTCAGGGCCTTGCGCTTTTAGTTCCTCCAATCTGACCTGCCCTTTCCTCAGAATTTTGCAAGTCCTTTTTTTTTTCTTCTTATTGAAAGGTATTGTCCATGGTGTCACTCCCCCCCCCCACCCAAAAAACACCCCTGACCCCCCAATCTAGAGTAGACACCGTCACCCTCAGACGAACACATCATCTTGTTTTTATTTTCTTATGTATTTGTTTACCTCTCTGTAGTTTTAAATTCTAGACATCACTGTAAGCGAATGGAGATTGGGGATCTCACTTTTCTTATTCACCAGAACATCCCCAGAACCCGAAAGGGAGCTGACACATAGTAGTTGCTCAGTTATAAGTACTTATGGAATAATTGGATATATAAATGGATGGTCTTGTCTTCATAATAGTCCCATGAGTTTGATGCTGGGTTGATGAATGAGAATACTGAGGCTCAGAGAGGCTAAAGGCTTCCTCGGGTCCCACTGCTTGTGTAGGGAGGCCAAATTTGAGGTTCTGTTTTCTCTCTCTGGAGCTCCTAACTGCAATGTTTTACTGGATTGTTAGCATTTAGCACAGGGCCTGGGGGGAAGGAATCAGTGAATGAGTGCATAGTTTAATGAATGACATCTGGTGTTCCCAGTTCACTTTCCTGGTGGAGTGACTCAGAGACCTGGAAAGGAGTTTTCCTGGTTGACTCTGAAGCTTGAAGCTTTTTTTTTTTTTTTTTGCGGGGGTGGGGGTGGGGGGAGTCGGAGCAGTCCCCAACTGCAACTGACTCTGCCTCCGGCCAGGTTCGAGTGGTTCCGTGAGCTGGACCTGAAATGGTATGCCCTGCCGGCTGTGTCCAACATGCTGCTGGAGGTGGGTGGCCTTGAGTTCCCCGCGTGCCCCTTCAATGGCTGGTACATGGGCACTGAGATCGGAGTCCGGGACTTCTGTGATGTGCAGCGCTACAACATCCTGGAGGTAACGAGGGCCACCTAACTGGAGGTCTGTGTGGGCCTGTGGGTGGGTCCCTGGGAGGCCTCACCCTTGCTACTCTGCCCTGTAGGAAGTGGGGAGAAGGATGGGCCTGGAGACGCACATGCTGGCCTCCCTCTGGAAAGACCGGGCTGTCACAGAGATCAACATTGCTGTGCTCCATAGCTTCCAGGTACGTCAGGTGACGTGGGTCTACCGATGCTTTGGTGACAAGATGACCTGGCTCGGTGCTGGATGTTCCCCCTGGCAGCATGGTTCATTTGTGCCTGCATCAAACAAATATTGAACATCAACATGTGCCAGGCACTTGCTAGGCCCTGGCACATAGCAGGCCGCTTGCTGTGCCCTCTTGCTCGCTCTCTCGGTCTAGCACCAGGCAACTCCTTGCCTCTGAAGACTGGTCAGTCCCTGCGCATGCGCACTGATCCCTGTGAGCTTTCAATTGCTCAAGGCCTTTACTCCCCCAAATCCCCCTCCCCTCTGTTTGCATCATCAGTGTCTCCTTCTCTGCTGGAACATTCCAATCAGTGTGCAGGCAGGCTATCCTAGGTCCCATCTGCAGGAAACAAATGGAGGTAACCTCAGGTTCCCTCCAGCTACATTTTTTTTTTGCTTATCTTTACAGCAAAACTATTCAATGAACTCATTTTACTTCCTCCTCCTGCAGTCATTCCAGTAGTCCTTCTGGTCTGGCTTTTATCTCCCACTACTCCTCAGTGATGCTGAAATTCTTGCCAGGTTTTCAAACTCAACAAGAGAATTTCCCCCTCAGGGCCTATGCCTTTAACTTTCACTCTGTGTAAAACTTTCTTCCCACCAATCATGCCTTGGCCAGTTCCTTCCCTTCTAGAAGTTCTCAGCTGTCACCTCCTTAAAGAAGCCCTCCCCAAGTCCTCCACGTGAACCAACGTCCTCACCTACCTCTGTCTTGTCTCTCTCTGTTACTCCTTTAATTCTGCCTCGTTTTTATTCATAGTCTGTGGCACTCTATTGGATGTCTACTTCTGTCTTTCTTCATTGTTTTGTTTCTTTCACTAGAATCTAAGCTCCCGGGGAGCCACAGGACAGGACCTTGTCCCTTGTGCTCACTGCTGCACCTCTAGTCAGAATGTTGAACACAAGGCAAATGCTAAAAATATTTATACTGGGTGAATGAATGAATGTGACTCCCATGCATAAGAGCAGGGGTTTCAATGTCCATTTCTGCTCACACACAGCAGGCTGGTTCCCACGCAGGGCCAGACCAGTCCATCTGCTGCCCCTGTTCACATTGTTCCTAGGCTTCAGGCCCAGGATGTGTGAAGCTGGAGCCATCTCTACCAAGCTGACAGATGCCCTAGAGTCTAAACCACTGGCAAAATTTTATGGAGCATTTTCCATGTACCAGTGCTAGGCTGGGCCATGAACATAAGTAGTAAAAAAAAAAAAATATGCATCACACACGGTTCCCCAGGGCTGGGTCACTCCACAGGCAGATCCAGACTGTGCGTGATGGAGTCGGGGGTTCTGAGCTGAGAGGAACAGGAAGAGAGCCCCTGGAGCTGGCCTCGATCAGGAAGGGCTGGCCTTGGACCACACATCCTGGCTTCAGGGGACTCCCAGCATCAGCCCTGCCGCTGGCAGGATGCGGATATGTCCCAGAAAATCTGCAGAGCCTCTGCCGTCTCCTGACCATGGCTGACCACGCCCCTCCAGGGCTTGACAGTCTCCAGAACTTCCTTGTCACTGTCCTTCAGAATAACCTTCCAAAGATGTGGCCTAATTTCCTTCCCTGAAAGATGGGGATCATAGCAGGACCTCCCTCCCTAGATTATTTTAAGAATTAAATAACAGTTCTTGCAACATGTTTAGCTGCACTACCTGGCCCACAGGGGACCCTCAGCACGTTTGTTTTACTGTTGTTATTTATTATTGTAATCATGGCTATGATCATTGGCTCCTGTAACGACCACTGGCCTGGCACTGAGGAGTCGCCATGTATGTATACAGACAGTCCCCAACTTAGGATGGTTCGACTTAGGAATTGTTTAACTTTACAGAGGGGTGAAAGTGATGTGGATTCAGAAACTGAACTTGGAATTCTGAAGTTTGATCTTTCCTGGGATGGTGATGGGGAACAGGATACTCCTGTGGTACCCTCTGCTCCCAGTCAGCCACGTCAGCACCGGGCTCACTACCTGACCCTCTGTTATGTGCTCTGTGGCGATGCCACAATGTTCAGGAGGTCGGGGGTATTGAATGCATATTTGACTTTCAAACTCTGCTGGGTTTATCAAGATTTAAGCCCATAGTAAGGGGGAAAGCACCTATATATGAAATTTTAACAGATGTGGCTGGACGTACAGGGCCTGCATCAGCTGGCTGTTCTTTTCCTTCCCATCCTTGACTTATAGCATCTTCTTCCCAGGAATGCCCCCCCGACCCCTGCATCCCGGGACACCTTGTACCCATCTCTTAAGACTTGGCCTCTTCCAGAAGCTGTTTCTAAGGCCCCTTTCGACTCTCCTAAGCCTCTGTTCTCCCCAAGCAGCCTTGGTTCCTCTCCATCATAGCTCCCAGACTTCCTTCTGCTTCCCCTAGTTAGACCACAGCCTACTACAGAGAAAGGGACTGTCATTCCTCCTATTATGCCAGGGCCTTACGCGGTACCTGGCAGATGGAAATAATAATAGTAGCTAACATCTACTGAGAACTTTGATGCTTTGTTTCTAACTTATTGCACCCTTTCAACAACCTCATGATGTAGAACTGTCAACCCCAGCTTACAGATGAGGAAACTGAAGCTTAAGAAAGTTCAAGATTAAGAAACTAGTAGATCAAGGTCACCCATCTGTGAAAGGTCAGAGTTTGGACCATGATGTTAAACACCTGTCTCTTGACCGAATGGTTTGTCCTAGACGTTGGGGTGGTGCTACTCTTAATGGATCATTCCAGGTTGTCTCAGATCCTGTGGCCTCTAATTTTAGGACATGGATGGTTCGTCTTCCCTGTAATCCTTCTCCCGTGCTTCAGGTCTCTCCACTGAGATGTCTTGTTCCTTTTTGGCTGAGAGGGTATAGATGGAAGGGGCGGTATTTCTTTATCTGCAAATAAGGGCTTCTGTTTGAGTCCTCTACGAGACATTTGCCGGGAGGGTGGGGAGACCTGTGGGCATGAGAAGCTGGATGCTTCCTCCCCAGGATCGGGGGGGGGGGGG